TGTAGGAGGGTTCCCTTTTCTCCACACCCTCTCCAGCATTTCTTGTTCCTACTTTTTGATGATGGCCGTTCTGACGGGTGTGAAGTGATACCTCATTGTAGTTCTGATTTGCATTTCTCTAATAATTAGCGATGTTGAGCATCTTTTCATGTGCCTCTTGGCCATCTGTATGTCTTCTTTGGAGAAATATCTATCTAGATCATTTGCCCATTTTTTAATGGGGTTGTTTGGTTTTTTGATATTGAACTGCATGAGCTGGTATGTTTTGGAGATTAATCCCTTGTCGGTTGCTTTGTTTGCCAGTATTTTCTCACATTCTGTGGGTTGTCTTTTCATTTTGTTTATGGTTTCCTTTGCTGTGCAAAAGCTTTTAAGTTTGTTTAGGTCCCATTTGTTTACTTTTATTTCTATTACTCTAGGAGGTGGATTGCAAGAGGTCTTGCTGCGATTTGTGTCATAGAGTGTTCTGCCTATGTTTTCCTGTAAGAGTTTCATAGTATCCAGCCTTACATTTAGGTCTTTAATCCATTTTGAGTTTATTTTGTGTATTTTTGTGTATGGTGTTAGAGGATATTCTAAAGTAAGTCCGCTACATAGGAATGAGTTCTGTTCCGAGAGCATATTCGTTAAGTCCAGTTTGTTTATAAGTCCAACAAAGTTAGCCTAGGTACCCAGCTAACACAGTGGGCTATGTAGTACTGTACTGTAATAGGTTTATAGTGCTTTTCACACAAATAATACATAAACACACACACACAAAATTTTCTTTTTTTTTTTTTCTTTTTTGCGGTACGCGGGCCTCTCACTGTTGTGGCCCCTCCCGTTGCGGAGCACAGGCTCCGGACGCGCAGGCTCAGCGGCCATGGCTCACGGGCCCAGCCGCCCCGCGGCACGTGGGACCTTCCCGGACCGGGGCACGAACCCGCGTCCCCTGCATCGTCAGGCGGACTCTCAACCACTGCGCCACCAGGGAAGCCCAAAAGATTTTTAATCTTACAGTACAGTACCTTGAAAAGTACAGTAGTGCAACACCTGGGATACAAGGGCTGGCATCAAGTGAACAGGCAAGAAGAGTTACTTACTGAGGAGGGAGAGGAGGTGGGAGATGGTAGAGCTGAAGGATCGTCAGCAATAGGAGACGGAAGGCGAGCTGCCATTTCACTCACGCCTGACGTTGATGGAACGCGTATTTCGTTAGCAACTTGAAGGTTTGTATGTAGGGGACTTACTGTAATTTCATTGTTTTTCGTATAGTCCAGTTTTAGAGCTGTGGTTTTCTCGGTCTGGTGTCTGCCCCCTGCTGGGCAAGGCTGGTCTAGCGGCCTGAGCAGGCTCCCTGGAGGGCAGGGCGGCTGCCTGCCCACTGGTGGGTGGAGCTGCGCCCCGTCTGGTGGGCAGGGCCGCGTCCCAGGGGGCTGTGAGCTCAGCAGGTCCCAAGGCAGCCTGTCAGCCGAGACAGCTGGGGCTCTGTCCCCCAGGGGGCTGTTTGGCCCAAGGTTCCCAGCACTAGGCCTGCAGGCTGTTGGGTGGTGCTCGGTCTTGGTGCTCACAGGCCAAGAAGATATCAGCCCAGCAGCACAGCAGCTGTGTTCACGGGGCCGAATGTCCCCCAGTGTATCTGCCACCGGCGTCTGTGTCCCCATGGTGAGCCTCAGCCACCCCCCACCTCTGCAGGAGACCCTCCAAGAACAGCAGGTAGGTCTGGCCCGGGCTCCCATCAAATTACTGCTCCTGCCCTGGGTCCTTCCTGGTGCGTGTGAGGTTTTGTGCGGCCCTTTAGGAGTGGGGTCTCTGCTCCCCCGTCCTGTGGGGCCCCTGCAGTCAAGCCCCGCTGTCTTCACAGCCAGATGCTCTGGGGGCTCCCGGTGCCGGACCCCCGGGCTGGGGAGCCCGACGTGGGGCTCAGAGCTCTCACTCCTCGGGGGGAACCTCTGCAGGGTCATTATTCTCCAGTGTGTGGGTCGCCCACCTGGGGGTAAGGGACTCCTACTGTCCCGTCGTCGTTCCTTCTTTATGTTAAACTTTAGCTGTGGAAGGTATTCTCTGGTAGCGTTTGGTCTTTTCCAGGGATGGTTGTTCTGCAGGTGGTTGCGACGTTGGTATGCTCATGAGAGGAGGTGAGCTGCTCTCCTGAGATGACTTCTGATGAAATTTTCAATCATTTTGGGATAGGTCCCATGGGGCGGCCAGAGCTGGCAGTGCCCTGTGAAGAGGCCCCCTGGGTGGCATGTAGACCTGAAGGACGGCCCCCTCCCAAGGCCCGCACTCCTACAGCCCGAGCCTCGAGGGGTTGACTGTGGGCAGTGTCCTCCTCTCTGGGCCGTTCCTGCCTCCTGGGAGCACCCGCGGCGCACAGACTGCTGCTGAGGGCCTTCACGTGGCAGGTGCCCGTGGTCTTGGGGCAGGAAGAGCACCAGGCTGGCCCAGCGGGGGAGAGCACGAGGTGAGCAGGAGAGGGGCGTGTCCGAGGGGCTCAGGGTGGATGGGAAGGGAGCTCAGGTTGGTCAGAGGACTGGGACTCAGGGACGGATCTCCCGCAGCAGCAGCACCCCGCCCGGGACGGTGCGTGGGGGGAGCCTGTGGTGGGGGTGCAGTCCCGGGAGCAGCCACAGCGGGGAGCCACCCGCCCTGGCCGGAGGGTGTCTGGAGCCTGGGGTGGAGGACAAGGCCGTGGCCAGGTGGAGGCTGGGTGGGAACAGCAGCTGCTCTCCCACTCACTGCCCTGAGTGTGTGGCTTCCAGCCCGTGGACCAAGGTGGCTGCTCCTGCCACAGCATCCTCATCCCAGCCCCCTGGGAGGGAGGAAAGGAGAGGGGCAGGGTGAGCTTTTCAAGGACGAAACCAGAGACCTCATCTGCCGTTTCTGCTCACATTTAGGACCTGGTGGCGTGGCCACGGCTAAAGGCAGGAACGCTGAGAAATGAGCCAGGCGCCCACAGCAAAGGAAGGGCACAGAGGTCAGAGAGACAGCAGGCTGTGCCCAGGAACCAGGCATGCACCCCAGGCTTTCCAGGAGGGGAGACCTGGGCTCAGTATCCACCTGGAAGATGCCAACAGGGAGGGTGAGAGTGAGCTGGAGGTGAGGCAAGGCCCCAGCTGAGGCTGAGGGGGCAGGAGGCGGACCCGGAGACCGACCCGCAGCTACCGTGGAGGCTGGGTGCCAACTACCTCAAGGGCTGAGGAATCAGGAGAAGACGAGTGTCCATCTCCAAGGCTCCACGGGTAAGAAGGGGCTACACCGTGTGCCCAGAACTGCTCGTGTTCCATCTTCCAGGAAAGAGGTGAGTTCACGTCCAGCTTCAGCGGGCTGAGCCCCACCCCTGCTGGTGCCTCCTCAGAACCCCGTCTGACTCACTCCAGGTTTGGTGGCTGGTAGTGCCGCTTCCATTTAGACCGATAAGGATGCTGGGGCTCTGATGTGCTCTAGCCCAGGTCCTCGGCCCACGTGCAAGACAGCTGCTGCCTCCCCCAGGGGCAGGTGGTGACCACCCAGGTGCAGGGTGCTGATGGGACTCCAAGAACTAAGCCACTGGCAGGGGCGGGTGTGGGGGCCGGAGTGCCTGAGGGCAGCTTCCTGGCTCCAGGGCCCCCCCCTTCAGAGGTCCCTGCCTGAGGCTGTGCTTCAGACTTCTACCCCAGTGAGAAATTTTTATGCTAGCAAGAATGCTCCAGGAGTTAAGGCTGCCCCTCGCCCTGGCAAGAGCACCCCTAACTCTGTGACGGCGCCCTCACCCCTCCTCACTCTGCCGCAGCGAGGCGGACACTGAGAGCTACGTAGGAGTTCTCCAGGTAGAGGAGCGAACATATGCCTTTTTTTTTTTTTTTTTTTTTTTTTTTTTTTTTTTTTTTTTTTTTTTTTTTTTTTTTTTTTTTTGCAAGTGGGAAGATTATTATAAGATGGGTTAAGAAAACATCTATCATCTTTGGGTAAGGGCCAGGACTAGGGCGAGGCAAGTGAGGCACTCCCCTCGGGCACACAGCTTACGGGTTGCCAAAAATCGTAGTCATCAAAAATAAGCAATATATTTTAATGTAATACTTTACTTTTAAATCAAAATTAATGATAAGCCAAATACTGACGTTTGAAAACAGGATTCCTGGTCGTCGTCTGCTCCAGTCCCCCAGGACTCGGCAGAGCACGGTCGGCCTGTGGCCCCTGCCCCGCCGGCATGGCCCTCTTCCGCCCTGACACTCCACTTTATGTACAAGCCGTTTTCTTTTCTGTTTGTTTTTGCTGTTAACGGTTGGTCTGTTTTTCCCAATGTGAAAAATGTCGGGATCTTGTGATGGAATAGAACGCATATATTTCTCAGTAAAATGTATGGAAATTTTTTGATTCAACAGTGTTCCCATCGAAGCAGGCCCTGGGCTGAGGAAAAAACAGTGGTTTCCATCCTCAGCACCCCCTGGACTGATACGCACCACAGCCAGTGGCTGAGGCAGGTGGAGGGAGCCAGGCCGGGTCCGCCTAGCTGGGGCCCTGCGCCCCAAAATGCAGGCTGGGCTGAGGCCCCACTGTGAGCCGTGTGCGCAGCAGCTGTTCAGCAAGCGAGCTCAGAAGCCCCGCCTTAGCCCACCTGAGGGCAAGCAAACACCTCTGGCCCCAGGGCCAAGGGGAAACTCTGTCCCCAAGGGGAGTCTGGTCATCAGAGGGGCTGCCTACTCAGACAGGGCCCTGACCCAAGCTCCCCCGACCCTGTCCCTGGTACACAGGCTCCCACGGTGAATTCAAGCTTTATTGCCCGCCTCCGCCCAGGAGAACATGCGAGGAGGGGCCCTGAGCAGGTGGGACGGGGGAGGGAGACCCTAAGAGACGGCCCGCCGGGTTTCCCTGAGTGGGTGCCCAGCCCCAGGGCCTTGGGGCTGGTTTGTGCTGCGGGAGAGGCCTCATCCCAAGGTGCCCCTCCCCGGGGTCCCCAGGCACAAAGAGGAGGGGAGCCCCGCCGAGCGCCTGCCGGCGCAGTGACACCCCGAGCTCACAGACCACGCGGCGCGCAGCCCTCAGCAGTCCAGGCCGACCGACGCCAGCAGGTCCTCCAGCGCCCGCAGCTGCCGCTCTGCCTGCTCCATGGCACTGCATGTCTGCGCGGCGCTGCCCACGTGGAAGCGGATGTCGTCCACCAGCGGGATGGAGTCCGTCTCCTGCCGGGCCGTCACGGCCGCGGCCTCCTCCTTCACCGCCTCCACGAAGTCCTCCCGCTCCAGCAGCTGCAGACAGGCCGGCTCAGGGCACGCTTGCCGCCCACCCTCAGCCACCCCGTGCCCACGCTCACCTTCTCGATGACCTTGGCCATGTACTTGGTGCACTGGTCCTCCAGGCGCGCCAGGCCAAACAGCTTGGCCACGCGCCACACGCCCACCACGCTGTCCTCGTCCAGCAGCTGGGCCAGGCCACGGCCACACAGCCGCTTCAGGCCTGGCAACAGGTACATGTCGGCCACACTCAGCACGTCGTAGGCCAACTCGGGAGGCAGCTGCGAAGAGAACGGAGGTGAGGAAGGGCACCCGAGACTTAACAGTGGGGCCCACGGGCCGAGCCAGGGGCTCACGTTGCAGGCCAGCTCTGCCCCGAGCCCTGCAGCCAGAGCCCGTGTTTCCCACCTGCTGTGGCAGGCACGGCCTCCAGAGGACGAGGGAAGCTGGGTGCAACTTTCACCCAGTCCAGGCGGGGGCACCTGCTTGGCCGTCACCCCGTTCTCTGGGAGCAGCTGTGACAGGGACCCTACAGCCATTGACCCCTTCTGGGAGGAAGTGTGCTAACCCTGCCCTGGGCACTCACCGCAGAGAAACGAGAAACAAACCCCCCCTTCCTCAGTCACCATATTACTACAGTGACCAGCACACACCTGCCACCTCCTCACCTGGGGCAGCTGCCTCGGGGCAGCCAAAGGGCCCTGTGGTGACCCCAACGCACGAGGCCAGGGCTCCCCACTGTTGCAGAAATTCAGGGTGACTGTCCCCGCCCACCCCCTGACTGGAAAACTTGGGGACCTCAGGTAGCTACACTGTGTCTCCAAGTGCCAGGTGCTCATGCCATGAGTCTTGTCACTCATTCCTGCCCTGGAACCAGGGCCCCTCCCTCCACCTGATAGAAAAGTTCCCACAGGACCCACACTCCAGCCTCATGGAGAACAGGCCTCTCAGAGCCAGACCAGACCTGGGCGCTCCCTCTAAGCCCCGTGGTGACGTGGCCCGTGTGGCTCCCCCAGCCCCTGCCCCGCGCACACACCTCGGTGTGGTCACTGTAGATATAGTACAGCACGTGGGTGAAGACGGCGGGCGAGACGTCGCGCAGGGTGATGGCCAGGAGGCCGCCCGATGCCTCCAGCTCCTCGTTCTCTCGGAAGTGGTCATCCAGCAGGGCCCGGAAGTAATCGCTGCGGCCACAGAAGAAGGCCTGTGGGAGGCTGGGCTCAGGATGGGCCAAGACTTGTGCCTGGAGGAGCTGGCCCAGGGCTTAAGGCAGGGGTGGGGGTCCGGGGGGGAAAAACTTAGTACCTTGTGACAGAGGAAGCTGTAACCGTCCACTCGGAAGCAGACATCGGGATAGCTGCTGAAGCCGTCGCAAGGGAAGGGCAGCTCCCCAAGACCACCCTGGCAGGGGACAGCAGAGCAGGTGCCACCAGAGCAGGCAGGAGATGGGAGAGCAGCCGGCTCCGGCCAAGGGCCCGTTCTAGCTACTCCTGGAGGACGACCGCTGCCCCATGTGTTGTCTTAGATACAAGACAACTAAAGCAAGCAGGCCAGCTCAGAAAAGGGAAGCAGCTGGGCTCTACGTTTAAACCTCATCCCCATCCCCAGACACGCCCCCTACCCACAAGCCCGGCCCAGGCGGGTGCGCTCTTACCCGGAGCTCGGGGGGCAGGGCACCGTCGGCCAGCAGGGCCAGGTCCTCCCGCAACCGGGGGTCTGCCTGGGGGGGCTCAATGGTCAGCACCTTCGCACGTGTGCCTGGCTTGGAAGCCACTGTGGAGGGGAGAACGCAGCTTCAGGGAGCCGGGCAGCCCGCCAGCTGCTGCCTGAGGCCCCGGGCCCCAAGGCCTGGACACGCACACTCACACTTGGCCTCCAGGTCGCCGAGCAGGTCCCACAGCTGGCACTGCTTGGCCAGACGCTCACAGTCGCCGACATGCTCCACACCGACATCCAGGCAGCCTGGGCATGGGTGCGGGTGCAGGGCTGGGGGGAGGCTCAGAGCCTGAGGGGGCCCTCAGCTGCCCCGCAGCCGTGCCTCGGCCGACCACCCGAGTTCTACAGGACCCGGGACCAATAAGAAGAGCTCCTCTGTGGGTGGGAAAAGCCAGCCCAGGAGGCAGCTGGAACCACCCTGCACCCCAGGGGATGAGCCCCAGGAGAGAAAAAGTGGCGCCAAAGCCACGTCTGGGTGTGCTGCAGCCCCTCCCTACCCAGACCCAGGGCTCACCTGTGTACAGGTACTGGAGAAGGGCCCCAAAGGCCACGGGGTTGATCTGTAGGCAGAGACCGCAGGGAGACAAGGTCAGAGGCAGCCGCTCAACACAAATTCCCTGCTCACCCTCTGCCCTCCCCAGCCCCAGGAGGGACGCACCAGAGGGTGCCTGAGGACCACGACACTCTTGCCTTCCCATTTGGTGTCGAACATGTGTGCGAAGTAGGTGCTGCGAGCACCCAGGATGCAGCGATGTGCCCGGAGGGACCTGCCGTGCACTAAGAAGACCACGTCGCTGTGGATGCCCTGCTCCAGGAGGCTGGGGGCAGCGGAGGGGCTGCTCAGCAGTGCCGCCCCCCAAGTCTCCCCACTGCCCCCCTCAGTCCCACACCGGCCGCGCCCACCGCGGAGCCCCTGTGCAGGGCTGTCTCACGCTCAGTCTCACCGCAGTAGGCAGCTGTAGTAGTAGTCCAGCCGCCGGTAGGAGGCCGTCACCTGCTTGTAGTCACGCAGGGCCCGGCGGATGGCCTCGCTCTGGGCCCCGTAGAGACAGCGCTCCCCATCGAAGGTGTTGGCCTCGCAGCGGGCTCCTGGGGACGGCAGGGCTGCCCAATCTGCAGGGCCATGGGGCTGCCCGCCACAGCTGGGGAGGGGCCTGGGGGCGAGGCACATCTCCCCCTCCCCACCCCACCCCACCTACGGGGCCCGAGTCGCCCTAGGCCTGCTCGTGCCCCAGCATCATCCCCGCCGGGGCCCAGGCACATGCCACACACCACACAAAAGAGATGGCTTGAAGACCGGCCCTAATCTGTGCACTGGCCGTCTGGGGACACACCCTAGGCAGAAGGGTCCCCGTCCTCACCTAACTGAGGTTGCTGGGGCAGAAAGACATACACAGGTTAGCAAATGACGTTAGGTGCTCTGAAAAAAAAGCTAAGCAAGACGAAGGGTGACAGTGGTGTCAGCTGCCACAGGAGAGGCTTTGGAAGGTCTCTGTGACAGAGACAAGGTGCAGAGACCTGAAATGAGTGAGAGCCATGCCAAGACCTGGGAAAGGCCTTCTGAGCAGAGAGAACAGCAAGTGCAAAGGCCCTGAGGGGCACGTGGGGAGGCAGCAGAGGGCTGGCCGGGGCGGGAGGGGGAGCGCCCACCATGGAGCAGCTCAGGGCAGGCCAGGTTCTCTAGCTCATGGGAAACACAGCAGGGAAGCCACTCAGGCCAGGAAGCGGGTCACACTGGCCGTGAGGCATGCCCACTGTGGCAAGGACAACACACGGTAGAGGACAGGGAGGGGCAGCCGCAGGGAGACGCTGACCCGGGGCTGGGGAGTCGAGGGGAGAACCGGCTCTGAGGGCAGAGCTAAGGGCACTTGCTGACGGGGTGCAGGACTGAGAGGGGACGCCAGGGCCCCTGGGCACAGCCCGCGTCCACTGCCCCACCCCGCCCCGCGTACTCACCGTTGGCTAGCAGGTAGAGCACCAGCTCTTCGTGTCCACAGAGGCAGGCATAGTACCTGAGGGGGAGATGGGCGGGGCAGGGGCGCTGTGAGGCCTGCAGGCTCCGCCCACCCTACCCACCCCCCTGCCCCCTGCCCCCCGCCGGCACTCACAAGGGGGTGCTGTCCCACTTGTCCCGCACATTCACCTCCACGTCTCGCTGCTCCAGCAGGTACCTGGGCAGGGGAGGTCAGAGCCTGGGTCAGGATGGGTTTGGGGTCTGGAGAGGAGACCTGCGGAAGGGGAAGGAGGAAAGCCTCCCCAGCTGAGGGCAGAGACCAGAGCAGGACAGGCATTTAAGGCAA